AAAAAAAAAAAAAAAAAAAAAAAAGTCTGGGTTAGGTACAATATATGTTAAAGTAAGATACCACCATATGCCTAAACAAAGTGAACATACTTCACACAGTACAAGATCTTATTTTAATAAACTTATCTTGTATTCTGGTCACTAAATTTATTGTGTTATTATTGATCCTATATATTAAAACTTCAGAGATGTATATATTATTATAAAAATAAATCTACATATTATTTATAAAAATATTTGTGACTTTATCAAACATATTTTGAATTATAAAACTTAACACGTAGAGACAAAATTATTATCCGATTTAGTTAACTTAAAGCATATTTGCCGCAACATGATCTAGGTGGCAACACTTTGTCAGCGGCACAATATGGCTGAATGGTGTACCGGTGTACCGTCTCCCCCTGAGGGCTTCACTTTCACTCCCCGCGTTCATAAGTCTACTTTATGTACCGTCCTTTAGGTCCATGGTCTGTTCGTATACCTCGTGAATGGTTATACTGGTTATATTTATACTGTGACGTGGCGCTGTGGTAGCAACATGCCGCTGTAAATGCTGTGAAGTGGCACGGAAAAGAAACAGCATATGTCATTTTTAATAGATTCACAGTGTAATTTGATAAAATGAGGTGGCTTATTTCTTGCTTAGGTCTAATTGTTTTGAGCAGAAGTGCAATCTGCTATTTCATCACGGTGGATGCACATGCCGAAGAATGTTTCTTCGACAGAGTAGAAGCAGGGATGAAAATGGGTTAGTTTTTGCTTAGTGTACTTTATTCAAACAGTTTTTGACTGTAAAATCTGTTTTCGGAGATTCACTGCAAAATTGTTTCGACAATTTGGTATAAATTTTCAGTTTGTTAGTAATACAGTACATAACAGCAATTGTTTCAAGTTAAGTTACTTTATTAGTACCTTCAAACTTTCTACCAGTTAATATGCGGCAAATTTATGATAAAAAATAGTAATGGTATTAGATTTATATAATACGAATCTTTGTAATATGTACATATTTTTGAGGTGAACGCAACAAGTACTTGTATTGTTAATATACATAAAATAAAAACAATACAGTATATTGAAGGATAATATTACCAGTATCATAAATATTATTAGAAATTTTTGTTATTATTTAAAAAGACAAGTACTAATAAATTATAATTAAAATTATTATAATTCACCAACATCCAACTTGCATTCATTGAAAATTGTCATAGATAGCATATTTTATATTATCATTAAGAAAAACATTCTTTTCTTCTTTAAACTTTTAATAGCAGATTGTACTTTTTATGCAATTTAGCACATGCAAATGTGCATGAGACAATCAAATAAAAAATTTGAGTAAATATTGCTAGTTTTTGTTTATTTGTATCTCTAAAAATGTTTTTAGAAACAAAATAGATTTTTATATGTTTTTAAACTTTGTGGCATGATCTATAAAAATGTGAGTGTGCATAAACATCTATGAATTGCTTATTCTTAATCATATTGAATTTATAGGATTATTTTTTATATATTAAATAAATAATATACAATGAGAAATATATATTTTTTTTAGAATAGCTTTCATATATTTTCAACATTTTGTATAATTTTTTTCAGGTCTCACATTTGAAATAGCAGAAGGCGGATTTTTAGATATAGATGTAAAAATAGTTGGTCCCGATCAAAAGGTAATCTATCAGGGTGATCAAGAAAGCAGTGGTAAATATACATTTGCTGCGCATCTTTCTGGTGTTTACACATATTGCTTTAGTAATCAAAAAAGTAGTATGACACCAAAAGTTGTAATGTTTAATATGGATATTGGTGAGACACAAAGACCTGTAGAACATACGTCAGATGGTAAGAATGCCGATGACACAAATCATAGTAAAATAGATGATATGATTAAAGAATTGAGTACGAGTTTATGGGGAGTGAAAAATGAGCAAGAATATATGCAGGTAACTATAAGAGCAGTGTTTTGTGACATTGAAGATTGAAAGTATTTCACCGCACTGATTTCTTGTTCTTAGGTACGAGATCGAAATCATAGAGCTATCAATGAAAACACCAACTTCCTTGTAGGTATGTGGGCTTTCTTCGAGGCAATGGTTTTGGTTTGTATGACGGTAGGGCAAATTTTCTACCTAAAACGGTTCTTTGAAGTTAGAAGAGTTATCTAATTTAAGGCATATAATGATAAAGTCATAAATTCATTGTACATTTTTTATATGACTAAGTTATAATAGAATTACAATGTTTCAATATTCTGAATTCATTTTTTCCTTAATTTGAAACATTAAAAACCTCAAACACAATGTTCTGCAATGAAAATCAATATCATCATTAGCAGTAAGCATTAGGTTTTTTAAAATACTATAATGTATATTTATGAATAAGGTTTTTTTTAAACATCAAACTTGTTGGAATACGCAAAACATTTTTTCTAACAATGGATGTTAAATCCTTTTTTAACATCTGAGGTGAAATATACAATTTGTAATACGAAACTATCCTTACACCAGTTGTCAATGTGCAGAGCTATTATTTTTATTACAAACACAGATGTATAAAGAATCATATTAGAGTTTCAAATAATTTTCATATTTAAATTGGAATAAAGTGATTTATGTAATAAATTGGGTGAATAAATATCAAAATAATTTAACAAAAATATAACAGCCATAATGTTTGTAATATCGTTTATATGATTGTACAGTGTAATATGATGTAATAAAATTCGACATAATTGAACTATTTTATAATTGTATGAAATGCAGATATTACTTGTTAGTTCATTGATGTGGTGTAAAATCAATTTGTTCGTATGTGTCATTTAAAATTTTTTAAAATGCAATGAAACAGACATAAGAGAAATATTTAATCATTTATAAAAGGCAAATCAAATTATTATTGAACCTAATACTTTTAAGGTGTACATTTTATCACATACATTAACGCCTAGATTATTCGATAGTGCATTTGACCTTTGCTTCAGCTATTATGTACTGTTTTGTCATATGACCCGCGTCGATTGTGGAAATTAACTATCCCTGATAACCAGTTATCTACAAGTTTCGATCAAATTGCTAGAAAATAATGACAAAAGTTGTCTAAAAAACCATAGCCATCTGTTTCCGCATTTGGCTTAGGTTTTGCAGGTAACGCCAGGTGACAAAATCGTAAAGCCACTTGGCAGCAAATCTTGCAACATAACCTGTGTCAAATTGGGGGCAAAAACGGAACAGAGTCTGCGCGAGCCAATTCGCTGTCTGTGTTGCTGCTAATATGCGCGTAAATTTTGCATCAAACTTGTAGCCATAACTCTATAACAGGAATTGGACAAAATTTGGCTTCACAGGTTTGGCTGACTGGGTATGAGACTCTTGTCATTCTAATACTTTGATATTATTTAAAAAGTATTTCAAAGAAATAATAAAATCGAAATTTATTATACTATTTCGTTTCAGAATTTCCTCCTTATTATCGTATTTTGTCGACTTCTTTGTACATAAAAACATCGTGGGACTTCTACTTCCTCTTGCTCATATCACATCACTAAATATAGTAGAAACTCGATAATTGATCATTTCAAGGTTGTAGAGAGAAAAAAATATGAAATATTCTTTTCAAATATATTATTTGCAAGTTAGCGAAAATTGATTTTTACTATTTGATGATTAATCCATAAAAATAATTTTTTCAATTCATTTATTGATTTTATAGCATCAAAATGATTCGATTGACATTCTTCAAATCGTTTTAATAGCGATCCTTGTAACCCTTTTCGATCAAAAATTTAGCAATTTCAGGATGATTGTTGTCTATAGCCATGTGCTTGGCTGTATCTCCAAAGTCGTCATCACACTGAATATCGGCGTGTAATTCATCAACTAAAATATGGACCAATTCTTCGTATCCATTTGTGGCGGCAACGTGTAAAACTGTTCTTTGATGGTTACTCTTGTCGACGGAATCGATGTCAACTTTTCGTTCTTTAACTAATTCAATTATTTTTGGTACGTTATTAGACACTGCTGCTTCAAATAATTCGTCAATTATGGGTTCATTTAGGTACGGTTCAGCATAGTCCCGTAATTCAGAATTTCTCTCTAGCAAAAATTTCACAATGTTCATATTATTTACGTCAGTCGCTACTTGCAGAGGTATTTTCCCGTATCCGTTCCGAACATTAACAGGAGCTTTGAATTCATCTACAAGAATTCGTGCCAAATCGTTAAAGCCTTCCATCACAGCAACGTGGAGAGCACTATGATCGTGAGAGGTTGGGTCTTTTACATCTACTTCGACAGTCTTACTCTTCAACAATTCCTTAACTTTGTCTATTTCATTCTTTTTAACAGCTTCGAAGAACTGCAGAACCGCTGCATTCGTGGCCATTGAAAATCCCTGAAACAAAAATAATTTATTAGTAAATTTTAATGTGTTTAGAATGAATCGTGAAGGTAATAGGTATAAATGTTTTGTAATATCTCTGAATAAGGTGAAACATACTATCTTCGTTATTGGTTTATCACCAAATGTTAATATCCTTGTGATGACATAGGAAAACATTACCCAGTCAGCCAGACCTGCAAAGTCAAATTTTGTCCAATGCCTGTTATAAAATTATGGCTGCAAATTTTATGCAAGATTTGCTATGAACATAGTGGTGAGAATAACGCCGTTGCTGGTGTCGCAATCATCGGGGAATCACTGTATATACCGTGGGCACGCCCGCTAAACAGAGTTGGTCATTATTTAGGTAAAAAATGAGTAAAAGAACGATTCAAATAAAACATCCTTCCATCTTTATTCGTTATTCGAAGCGTTTCATTCGTAGCGTCGAATAAAATTGTAATCTTTCATCTATATCTTTTATTCAAAGGCTTCGAATAAATTTTGCCAGAATAAAGAAAGTATCAATTAGATTCAAATAGAAAGACCAATCAAGCGACAGAAAAAAATTGAACAAAGACAAATCGATTCTCGATTCTCTGAGTAAAGAATCGATTATCAGAAAAATCAAACAGAAGAGAATTGATACGATAGATCGATTTGTTGAAGAATCTAATCGGAATCGATTAGATAGATCAATTTTTTTAAGAATCGAGTCGGAATTGAACATCTCTAGAATGAATTGAGGTTGTGCATATTCGCATTTAATAGAAGAAAAAAGAAGATAACTTTCTTTCATTGGACTCACCTTCTTGATAAACTTGTGAAGGAGACGAACTATCCAACAGCACGCAAACTATAAACAAAAATAATTATTCTGCCACAGCTGGGTTTGTCAAGTCTGAATGTCATCGATTGGGGTAGAAAATCTAGTTGGCGCGCTGTCTGTCTCGCATGGTCTCGCGAATTAGATCATGTGTGCACTTAGAGATGGCGTGAACTGCTACTTGTGAATCACTCGTGATTTGATCACGTTCGTTCCCAATCACGGTGATTTTTCACAGTGATTCATGATTTCTCGTAATCGTTTCTGATTGGTGGAGAAACCTAACAGTTCTTTACACGCGACACATAATCTGTATATTTTATATTAACGACATCAAAACAAAAATTCGAGTTATATCGTATAAAGTGAAGGAGTAATTAGAAACAATGAAGAATAATGAATAAATTAATGATTATAAATTGTAATCTACATGTTACCTAGCAAATAATTCTTTTAGAATTTCTTGTTTTTTCTACTGATTTTTACAAACACGAATAGTAATTAATTCATGGTAAAGTCATATTGAATACGTTTTTCTGTTTAAAGATCAAGGACTTACAATCGCAGTGAGCAAATTCACTCAAAATAAAAAAATCGCAATCACGGTCGAGAATGAAGTTAACCCAGACCGTGATCGTGATTCGGCGATGACTGTGATACATCACCGTTAGTGATTTTGCTATAACGCTTTGATGAAGGCATTATGTTATTATATTTTACATACTCTATTTCGCTGTGAATTTATGAAATCTGCAGTTTAATTACATGTAACAGTGTTGCTTATATGAAATTTATGTGTAATGTATTACAACTATGCAACATATAAAGTGTAATTACATTTATTTAATGTAATGTTTATATTAGATTTTTATGCTACTAATATTAATTGTGTATATAATATTTAATTATTAATAAGACGAAGTTTCTATTCATTGAATATATATCATTTACAACTTTGTGGTCAAGTCTATATACTTTTTTTTTGTTATCTGAATTAGTAAATTGTTAAAAGTATACTTTTCAAACATTTACAAATCTTTTTTCTGTTTACGAAAAACATATAGAACCCTATTAAATAATAAAACATATTTACATATTTTTTAACACAAAGATAATTGTTTTTACTATAAAATTTTCGTTTTTCATCACATTGTTTCCATCTATAAATTTTAGAATTGCTTGAACTGATTTTTTTGGTCATTATATTAGAATAACAGTTCCTTCAAAAAGATCTATATTTTTAGTAACGTTGAATCAATTTGTAAACTTTGAAATTGCAATGTTCAAGATAATTTTTATGATAAAAATAAAACTTTCATGCAAAGACTTCATTTGGGTTTCATTTCACTCATTATTGTTTCTATTTATTTTGGTCATACTCATAAGGATGTGTAACATTTTCATTAGGAAAAAAGTATTAAACATTGCACGGCACAGTGCTGTAATAATCAATAAATAAAATAAACATTGTTAATTTTATCTTGTATACATGTAATATTTGTAAAACCACAAATTATACAATGTTTTGTAAGTAAAGCTATATTACAATAAAATCTTTCGTATGTCTAATCATACTAAAATTTATATTACGAGTGTGGTCAAGGAGTTTCAAGATTTCAAAAGCACTATAAATTCATATTATGAAAACATTTTTATGGCGACACCACAAAAATACAATCTTAATGAAGTTAATATTTTAACCGAATGTTTGTATGTAACAAAAGTATTTATAATACAATATTTATAGTAAATTCACAGAAAAAAAGGAAGGTGAAAACCTAGTGTAACACATAAAAAGTCTCGTTACTCTCTTGAAAAAAATAAAAACTAGAAAAAAAAAGTCAAAAATGCTTCCTGAAAATATAATTGATATTTCTCCAGATTTTCCTAATTAAAACAATTAACAATTAAACACATACATACAGCACATCAAAACATATAATTCAGAATTAACTTTCGTATATCTCATACTTAATTAACACTTAGGTTTTGAAATCTGAAGCCTACAGCGCTGCTTATTTGTTCTCTATCTGCATCGCTCATTTTTGCACTCGGTGCTGAGGTTAAACCTAATCTGGTGCATGCCTTTTTGTGCATAAACCAGTGCAGTCTCTGACACTCTCTGTCACAATATTGCACAGTTTTACATTTGCTGCATTTTTTGTTTGCTTTATCCTCCCCGCATGTTACGCAAACTTGTGCATTGTCAGAGAAGGCTCTCTGTCCATTAATTGCTGCTGATACTACCGACACAGCAGATGGTGGATCACTGGCTGCAAGGGTTGCTACCATTTGACGAAAGATTGTGCTCTCTCTGTATGGAAATTCTCGTACAGTTTCTCGCAAGAAGGCTTCCTGGTACTCTGGGGTACCGTCAGTTCTGCTACACTTTAAGAATTTCCTTATTAGAACCTCTATAGTATCTGATTTCTTTTCTTCCCCTTCTTCGCTTATTTTTTCTGTTTTTTCTGCTTTCATTGCTTCTTGCCTCTTTTGGAATTTGATTACCTCAGCTACAACGCAACTTAAGTAGTGGTACTTGAATGCCATTATTTCATTTGTTTCTGAACCTCTAGTCATTACCTTATGGCGCATAGATTCTAACACCTTTTGTACCTGCAAATTAGAACAATGACTATAATGTTGTTTAACTTATTATTATTTATGTGATCATTTTATGTAATATCATATCAATTTTTATTATTATTTATATGATTCTTTCAAGATTTTTACCTTAGCAGCATTTTCTAACAGTCCTGGACATCTTTGTAGATTCATGACTACACGTACTGGATGTACATTGACTTGCATAATAAATTTATGAAAAGAATCTGCTAAGTGTGGTGGAAGCATTGACTCAGTCTGCAATCCTTGTGGTTTAATGTAATAATCTACGTCAGCCTTTGGAATAAAGTTATTGATAGTTGCTACGCAACTATGATTGCCCACAAAGGCAGCCATCTGAGCTGGAGTTCGTCCCACGCTGTTTGTAGCTGTTAATCTTGCTCCATAAGACATTAGAAGATGACAAAGTTCAGCATTTCCACTTAAAGCTGCAAAGTGGAGAGCTGTATATGCATGCTCGTGTTGGCAAGCATTTACATCTGCTCCCTGCAACAAAGCGTTTAATTAACATAAAGTCAACAAAACTATATCTTATAGTATTTTTTTTTTAATTATAAATAACTTATAATAACTGCGGATATATATTAAGCTTAATTAATTTCTGAACTATATAATGCTACATATTCTAAAGAAGAAATTTCATATGTTTCACATAAATATTTTTCTTCAAGATATAGTACTGTTCCTTTGTACAGAAACTTTAGAATTATTAAAACTAATCTACAGAGATAATTTAATTGGATTCGAAGACGAAATCCACACATATATTGTAAAATGAAGTTGTGCACTAAGTTTTATTGCACAAGTAAAGAAAATGCTACTTATATATAGAGCCAACATTTTCATTAATTTTTTATTGAAAATCTAAATGAACAAACATATTGTATAAAAGTTCTGTAATGTACAAAATTTCACAAATACTTTTCACTTATTTAATTATATTGTTAAAAAGTTAACCTACCTGATCGAGAAGCATCTGCACTATTTCCTTGTTCCCTTTGTAACAGGCATGTTGGAGTGGACTCATACCATTTTCGTCCACAAAATCCATTTTAACTTTGTTCGCCGCTAACAATGTTTTAAGTTCTGATACCTCATTCTTGCTGATTTTTTCAAAAATCTTTTTCTGCACATCGGTTAAGTCCCCCGTGGCAGGCGCCATTTTTCCTACTATCGATCAACATAACGAGAAGTCGACTGTTTATAGAATCGTCGAAAATAATCAAAAAGAAATATCTTTACCGACTATTGTTTACTGAAATTTGACCAAATCACATTTGTATGTATGTATGGACATATTTGGGATATATATATCCTGTTAGACTGTAATCACAGATGTACGTACAAGCACAAACGAGATATGTACATTAAAACAAATGGAATTATATATTAGAGTAAACATTCGTTTAATGCACGTTCGAGACTGTAGAGAATTAAATTTCCACGAATCACGCATCATGAGGGAAGCCAATCATTACTCACATTTATCGTATGTCCCCAGGAATGAAAATTTCGGCGACACACTTATGAAACCATTATAAAGCTTTGAGCAGAAGATGGAATTATTTGCGATGGATAAATTACAATATTTTATAAATCTGAATAATATTTAAGCCTTGTTTTACTGAATTTATGCATATATCGTTATAAATATTTTGTAAAATCGTATACATACGTAGTATTTAAGGTAATTCTTGTGAAGTTTATTCAAATACTATTGTAAATTGTGTATTTTCTTCAAATTTTTTCAATAAAAAACAGTTAAATGGTACATATGCGTTGGTTATTAAACCTACCACTACGCCTATCTCATATTTTCAATAAATGAATAAATAGTAATTGGTAAACTTAGTTAAAAATGTGTTAAAATAAATTTTCCGTACTATTTAGCGCGAAATTTGAATTTGAAAAAGCGCGGGAAACCTGAAAAATCGAGGTTTAGCCACCGACTAGGTATAGGATAGACCTATCATCTTATGGGACTTCGTGTCTCATGTTCTGAAATACCGATAGTGTAAAAAGTCAGGGATTTTCTGCTGCCCTCTACGTTTGAGAACGGTGAATTTGTGAACTACGTTAAATCTAAGAGGGGACCATGGTCGTGAACGGATTCTCTTTCGTCCGTTCGCTATAAAGTAGACGTATTAGAAAGGAGTCTTGGGTTCTCATCCCGACGGACTTATATTAGTTTTTCTTCGCGTACAAAAAAGTTGTTGCGTTTAATATTGTTTTTATGGATATGTATATGTATTATTATGTACATTTGAGTAAATTATTTTATTATTCCATTGTTATTACA